TGGGACTTCACCAAGGCAAAGCACCCTCCCCGATATCGGTGCCGTTGTTAAAAATAACATACAGTCTATCTTTATCTTCAGGAAGGGAGGGGGGATTTTGTCAGTGGTTGGCGGTCTTTGTTTTACCATCTGAGAAATGGGTTTGCGAAAGAGCACTGGGAGGTATGGGTGGAGTTGGTACGCCTTGGGATGCTATAAGCGGTGTGTTGTGAGGGATGGGAGCCTCCCGTCCCCAAGGGGACGTAGGACGGGGGCAGGATGCTTAGTCCGTGCATTGGTTTCCCACAGAAAGCGTCCCCAAATGATTGCTGCCCGGTCCTTGTATCCACTGCCAGTCCTCGGTGCTGCAGAGGGCAGACAGCATCCCTCCTCCACCCCCCGCTCCCAGTGGGGGGCTGCCAGGAATTTCAGAGGTTTGAGTTGGTTTTACCAACTTGAGGCCACCATTGGATGTAGGCTCGTGTACTGGGGATGTGTGTCCGCCCCACACGGGGCTGGGGCTCTTCTTCCCAAGGCACAAACCCCTTCCAACTGCTCCAGGAGGACACGCCAGTGCATCTGAGTCAGTGCCCTCAGTCACCAGCAGTGACACCATGGTCGCCTCCTGCTCCTGCGCCAAACACCGGGAACTGAGAAATCACAGACAGAAACCATGACCTGACGGGGTTGATAACATTATTTTGTTTTATTCTAAGCTCATGATTTTGGGGGCAGCCTCGTGCATTTTTTTTTTTTTGGATGCTGACTCAGATGTTTTGCACCCTTTGAGCCAAGCAATGCCAAACAGTCAGGGTAGAGAGAGAAGAACAAAATACGTCCTTGTACCTGCCGTGACCTCCCTGCCAGCGCCGGGCCAGCGGAGAGGCCTGTGGGCAAGAGCCGGGATGCTTTCTGCATCCAGACACAGCCTGGGTTTTGCTGAGGAAAGGGTCCTTGTCCCCACTCATCTCAGAGAGGAGACCCAACCCCACGGCTGCCCCCTCCCCGGCACAGCCCAGCCCCACTCCCCACCGCTTCGAGCCTTTATTTGGGACCGAGCAAGACCATTGCTCATCGCCACGTGCCCCCAACAAATCCCAGCTGCGAAATACTTGGGAACCTGAGGTTTTTTTTCCCCCAAAAAGCCTCTAGGCAATGCACGCCCATGATTCCCAGTCCATTGCTCCCTCCGGGCTCCGTGGCCGAAACGCTCCCGAAGACCGTTAAAGGTCCGTCAACGCGTTTTAATTGTGCAGTAACCAGGGCCAGTGTTTTTGTTGGACCGTGACCCAGCCTGCAGAGCAGACGCAGAGCTTTGAAGCTCCCCCGGCCGCCGCTTGCCCCGTCCACGCCGCCAATTATCCGCCGCTCGACCGTCTAAGGCAGGCAGGTTTACCTACCTCCGCGGGTGTTGTGGGGCTTCATGAATGTTTCCCGCACACTTTGAAGATGAGAAATGCTCTGAATGTTCAGCATGAGTGTGATTTAAGCATGTGGAGCGGTTCGGGCTCGCTCACGCTGTCCTTGGGGCAGCGCTCGAGCCCTGCTCAAGTTTGCTTTTGCTGAGCCGGCTCTTGCTGTTGATGTCCTCTCCTCTGGAAGGACCAACCCAGGACATTCCAGCAGGTACCGCAGTGCTGCAAGCGGCTCTGCGGGCTCTTTTTTTACCATCATGAGCTTATATAGCTTTCATTAAACCTTATAAACTTAAGCTAAACTAAAACACTTGGGTCCAAATAAGGTTCTTGCTCCCTCCCCATCTTCTGTACCATTTAAAAAAAAAAAAAAATTGGTTGGCTGTTCCACTTTTTAAGGTGTAACAGGAGAACTTTCCCACGCTGCCTCTCCATTTAGCAGCTGACAAGCCAGACCTGTAATCACGATCTTTATCCCGAGACAAGCTGAAAAACAAAATGTTTCTGAGCCGCTGAAGGTAGGTGAACATTTTCAGAGTGTCACATATTAAGGTGGTGTCTAACGAGCTCCATGTCCCACTTATAATTGAAACAGAAGAGAGTATTCACTTTTCATTCATTTTTAAAAGACTATTCAAATACCCTTTCATCTCCGCTAAACAGCCTGCCATGTATTTGAAGCCATTTTATATTTTGTTTCTACAGACATCCAAAAAAACAGAGGTGAGTATTTTGGAACATTGATTGAAAGATGCAAAGGCTTGTGAGGCACTGAATGGCTTCAAGCTGCCTCAAACACATTCATCTTCCCCAGAAGAATTAGGCACAGTGTGATTCATTTTAATAGCAGAAGAAAAAATAATACTACGATGTAGTGCTAAGTTCCCAACCTTTGATGGTAGACTGAAAAAAAGAGAGAGGGGGGAAAAAAAAAATACCTTTCTTCCCTTATGTTGTTGAAGTCTCCCTACACCCATCCGTTATGTCCAGCTTATCAATTAAGATGAACCCCATGAACTTCAGATGGTTTTTTCTTTAAAACAAGGCACCATCCATTTAAATGTGTAAAACTGCCTGCAGCTCCCTTGAACTGCAGGATTCAGTCCTGAGCTCTGTGTACTCGGTGTGAAGTTGAGCCCTTTGATAGAAGTTTTACTGATGTTTTAAACGAAGTCTTCCCATACACACAAAATAACCCAGATAATTTAAAAACTGCAAGAAAAAAATAGGGCAGACCAAAAGCGGGTCCACAATTGCTTTCCCAGGGTTACTCGCTTGAGCTGGGAAGGTCTGGGCGACAGCTGGGAGACAAATCCATCCCTGGAATGGGCAGCTTCCCTCGCGAACAAATTAAGCGCATTTAGCTATGAAATAGGTTTTGTACCACAAACACCGGTGGGAGGGGAGGGGCGCGGGTAAGAGCGCCCTGGCATTTGTCCTGCTCGGCTCCTTCCACCAAACCTCTCCCCAGCCCAGCTTGGCTGGAGCAGCCACATCAGCCAGGGCTTTACTAAGCTGGGTTTTGCTCCAGCAGGTGAGCAGTCCCAGCTCAATCACACCTAGGCAAGGCCATGACCCCCCCTCCATCACCTAAGGATGAAGCCCTGATGTGCCACGGACCACCCCGTCCCGCTGAGCATCGCACCCCAGCTTCGTTATCCCCCTTAAAGAGCAAGAGGCACTCCCCGCTCCTCCATCAGCCTGGTCCTGCCCCATCAGGTAGGCTTGGGGGGTGCAGACTCCACTAAATTTGTAGCCGAGTTACCTGAAGGAGCTGTAAATGATTTAATCATGGCACTGAAGCGCAGCCCCAGCCTTTGCGTTGCCCACTGGAGCTGCACCTGCGGCCCAGCTACCACCGTACGTAAGAAACCTTTTAAGGGTGGGAAAAAAAAAAAAAAAAAGTCAGAAAATATTCATTTGAAAAATATAAAATTTTAATAAAGGCTACATCTCTTAATTACAATAATTATTGTACCAAGTAATTTTTTTTTAAATGAAACTCTTTATAATGCATAATTTACAGTATAAGTAGAACAAAATGCCATGGCAAAAGTCATGAGTACAGGACTTGTAATAAAAGGCATAAAATATATTTATACATAAACCCCTTAAACAAACAAGGGAAAGCTTGAACCCTGAATATAGGGCGACGCATGGTCTCGTAACACCATGCAGGCACAGGTACTGTACTGATTAAATTTTAAAAACACTAGAGATAGTGTATTAATATTTTCACCATACATTTTCTACAATATATACAGACTTACAGAATGTAGCAATGGCAAACAGAATGCACAGATTAACTTAATCAACACAAAACCCAACTGTAGAAATGCAAGGTCTTCTCTCTCTCGGGAAAGGGTGGCTCTGTCCCAGCACCCACGCACACACCAAGCTCAGAGCCTTCGCCCACAGCTCCCACGGACTCACATGGGTGGTGTGAAGGTAAGGCCAAAAAAAAAAATAAACCAAAAAAAACCAAACACAGAACTCCCAAGCCCCCAGACAACAAATCACACGCTCCAAACCGCTCTGAAAACACGCCCCACCGTAGTTAGGTGTCCTTGAAATACAAGTTGTGCTAACATTGAATGGCTAAAAAAACCAAATTAGCTAGCTATGTGGCACACATATGGGGTTTTTTTAATCTGGCTTTTGCAACGTGTCCTTTTGGTGTGCTAAGTATGGAACTGGGAAGGGGATGGCTTCATCTACAGCTCTCCCAAGCTCAAGGTTTTGCTCTGCTTTGCCTTAACCCAAGAGAGGCGCTGGACCCCCCTCACCCCTGACAGCAGCAAAGCAAAACCCTCACACCGCAGAAATCCATGGACAAAATAGCAAGTTGCTGTTGTTATATTGCATCTAATGTATTTAACGCTTAAGACCTTTATGTCAAATTAGAGCAGCACAGATTTAAATGCACCGGTCTCTAGATGAATGGTGGGACAGTATTTTTATTTTGCTTTTTTTTTTAATCATTATGATTATTATTTCTTTAGAAAAGTTTTATCTTCAGTTGGAGAA